ATATGAATATATTAATTTATATCTTAAATGTTTGATTTCTAGTTCCATAATACTTACTTTAAAGACCAATTCTTATGTTGTATAGCCACCATAATGTTTCATTGACAGTTATATTAGGAGTTATATGTAATATTATGAATATACTAACAGTTTTTCATAGAATAACATATTAAGGTAAAAATATGTCTACAATTTTTGTTGTACATGAATCAACACAAGATTAAAGATCCTCAGAATAAAGTCTTTAAAAATAATTATGAAAAAGTCGGTGGGTTCACAGCAGTTGATGACCATCAATTCTCAAACTGCATTCCTGTCTTTCCACTGTACTTTGTTGTCCACAAAAATATCCTGCAATTTCTAAAAATCTACCTCCAGTGAATGTTCATTATACAGCCCAAGTTTGAGCCATGTGATATTTCTCTGCTCATCTCTCATACTGATGTACAGCCCAGGGTCATTTTTTGTTCATTCTTATAATTTTTTATGTTGCTTCTCATGAAATACAATTGTATTATCACAATATAGTATGTTATAACACATACCTGATAAACATTTTCAAGATTTTGTTTATTGCAGACTCTTGTTGCAGCTTTTAAAAATTCTTTAAAAGCAGAGCATATGATAAGTATATTATACTCGCACATTTCAAACTATTTTTATCACTATTGACATTAATTATTTTGAGAATTTGGATACAATGTAATTTCTTTTCTTTTTTTTCCTTTCGAGGCAGGGTTTTTCTGTATAGCCCTGACTGTTCTGGAACTCACTCTGTAGACCAGGCTGGCCTCGAATTCAGAAATCCACCTGCCTCTGCCTCCCAAGTGCAGGAATTAAAGGCATGCACCACCACTGCATGGTATGTGTTTATCCACCTCTGACTCTTTCTAGATCAATCTCACCTTTTAACCCTTCCAACATTATGTTCTCTTTTTTATTGTATATCAAGTTCAATCTGTGAAACACATATATGCTTTGAAGTGGAGCCTTCCACTGAATTATGATTGACTTACCAAAGAAAACACTATTTACTAAAGAATGGGGGAAAGAATCTCCATCTCCCCATATAAATAGGTTGCCAATAACTCCTCATGTAGAGTTCATACTTTATGTTCAACTTCCCTCTACATGTTGGCATTTGGTCTACTGTGGACTTGCACAGGCTTTACATATTTTATCACATTCACATACAAATTCATATGTGCAGTTGTCAGGCTTTGTTGAAATGACAACTTTATTTATTTATTTATTTATTTATTTATTTATTTATTTATTATTTCATTCATGAACTCTGGCTTTCATAGTCATTTGGCCCCCAATGATCTTCAGGGTGTGAGTAGAAGGAATGTAATTTAGATGACATTTTCTAGTCCTGATATTTCTGCAATTTCTTATTCTTTTTATGTTGATCAGATGTCTGTTTCTATGTTAATTATCACATTTTGCAAATAGAAGTATTCTTGATGGTAGTTCAGAGATGCCATTATGAATGGGAAGAAATATAGGTCAGTAGGATTTGGTTATAAATTATGGCCAATTAATAGAATAATTTTAGTAGGTTCTCTCTTTGGGTTTATAACCTATCTAGTGACTAGATTTTGACTCTGAAATTGTACAAGATATGGGTTTCATTATATGGAATTATACTTGAATCTAATCAAATAGTGGATGGTAAGCAACATGATATTTGTGCCACTATTGCATCATTGGGCACATCTGACTAGGCCATACATTATTGTAGTCTGCGATGTTCACAGCTGGACAGGACTGATCATTCCTTTTGTACTCTGGTAGGATACACAGCACCTTACAGAACTACAAAAATGAGTCAGTTAAGTGAATACCAGGTTAATATTTACATGCTATGTTACATGATTTCTTCCATAATGAGATCTTAAAATCAAGTTCTAGAGAGTAACAATATCATTATCAATAGCCTGTAATGTTTTTGTCTCTCTGGTAATTTACTTGCAAAAAACTCCAAAAATGGTAACCCACACAGTATTGGATTTTTTTGTTTGTCAATCTATGGTGCTTTTTATTGCTGTTATATTCATATCATATTGTACTTCCATTTTAACAGCATTCATACTTTTGCAAACACACAATCTTAAAAAACATTTTTTATGTTTATATTTTCTCTACATGTACGTACGTATATGATGTCTATAAAATATTGTTAGACATCAGAAAAAGACATTGGATATCTTGTAACTGAAATTAAAAAATAGTATCCTCTATCATGAGCCTACAGGGACCCATAGGTATAGGGACCAGTTAGTCTCTGTATTCATTTAGCCATTTCTAGAGTTTCTCATTTTTTTAAATTACTACATTGTTTGTATATTATCTTCTAACAAGTAATCACTCAGCAGAGCTCCCAGGGTCTAAACCATTAACCACATTGGTGGACCCATGGCTCCAGCTGCATATGTAGCAGAGATTGGCCATGTCAGGCATCAATGGGAGAAGAGGCCCTTGGTCCTGTGAAGGCTAGATGCCCCAGTGTAGGGGAATGTGAGGGCGGGAGACAGAAGTGGGTGGGTGTGTGCGGGAACACCCTCATAGAAGCAGGGGAGGGGGAAGGAAGGAGGGGAGAGGGGAGGAGACATAGTGTTTCCAGAGGAACACCTGGAAAGGAGATAACATTTGAAATGTAAGTAAAGTAAATATTCAATGAAAAATTACACTTGAAGTAGAAGAGGCTCTATAGAAAAGAAATGTCTGGAACATGACTTAAATATCATTTGTAAAGTGCTAATATAATAAAAAAACTACACACAAAAATATATGAGAACTGGATTCAGGGAAAGACAAATGTAACAATATTTGCACTGTGACCAATCTAGGATATCCAGCAAAAACATTGACCAGATCAAATTATGGTGGCTAGGAGCAGTAGACAGGCTGTAAACCGAATAAAAGTTCTTAATGGGGTAGAAGATGACACTGGGTTTCCATGATGCTGGAAAATGATGTCTTAAATGGACAGTATATCTTTTAAAATCAAAAGATTAACTAATATTGTCTTTCTGCCTGGACATTAGAGGACCAGAGGACATCATAAAGGACTCTTTAAGGAACTGTCTTTATCTTTTAGACAAATAGATATGAATTCACAGCTATTCAAAGTCACTAGTGCAAAAACCAACAGTGCAATAATGAGATATATCAAGGAATATAAAAATGATACAGCTTGTCCTAGGAGTAGGTACTTAACTCTTCCTCATAGAGTACTTGGTTTACAAGTCTCTAATGTAGATAGGAATCTTGGGGTGAATAAATAGAAGAGACTTAGGCTGTACATAAGGGTTATAGTGTTTTGTACCAGGTTATGAAAATTATGTTAAACATGTATTTTTTGAAAATTGAGGAGTCTGTGGGAAGATTACTAACAAAGACAGGAGTCCTTTCCTAAAACACAGTTGAAAGATAAAGAACTAGAGAGCATGATACCATCCAAGAGACTGTTGAAAGTTCGAAGACTTCTGGAGGGACTAGAGATTTGGCAGATCTGAATGGATCCCAGTACTTCTTGGCCCTTAGCAAGATGCTACCTCTTACTGATCATATGTCAATCTAAAGTGAAGCAATCTAAACAGTACAGACAATTGTCTTGTAGGTTATTAGCTTTCAAAAGGAGTAATGATCCCATCCATGCTACTCTAGAATGATAGAATGATAGAATGATAGAATGATAGAATGATAGAATGATAGAATGATGAATGATAGAATGATAGAATGATAGAATGATGAATTCTGGATGGGTGAATGGGAATGGGATTAACCTTTGGAATGTAAATAAATAAATAAATAAATAAACATAATTTTTTTAAAAAAAGGAAAGGAAAAAATCTGTTAGATTACACATATAGGAAACGGGATTCCTGAGAAAAATATGTTTATTGAATTAAATCTCTGAGATATGGGAGACCCATAGGTCAGAGGTACTTTCCCAAGAGATAGGCATAGGCTTTTAAAATATCTCATGACAGTCTTGTAGCTATATTTTCTTTTGTATGAATATTAGACCTAACTGATTTACCTACATTTTTAAGCAGCAAGTACACTCTTTCAACAATTTAAGAATATTTTGTTGGCATTGAGTTAGAAGACCCCTCAATGCTGACTAAATGCCAGAGTCTTGAAGCAACTATGGCATTGACTTTTGAAGAACTTTCACGACTGGTACAACAACTAATACTAACAGTAAGTGTATGAAAATATACTCATTAGGACAATCATGGTGCAATTGTTACTGGTGCAGTTAACAAACTTCTGACATGAGTAACAGCAATTGCAAGAAAACACTATATATTTGTTAATTTAAAAGAATGTCCAGTAATTTTTGAGAGGTTATATACCCTAGAGAGAAGTTAAAGGAGTTTTTGTGTTAAATATATCTCATTAATTTTAGCCTGACTTCTAAATGTCTAATTTAAGCATGCAGATTATTATAATTGTCAGCTTAGTTCACAGAGAAACACTCTTCTGAGTAGCCAGATTTATAACACTATAGATAATTTACTAATTCTGTGGTATGGTAGACAAATATTCATTGAAGAACTGCTCTCTGTCTATAAAGATGAGAAAAAAATGAAACAAAGAATGTAAGATTCTAAGGAAGGAGAAGTAATCATGAACAATTATTTTTTCATGATCTGACATAATCATCTTTAACCAGGCAGTTGAGAAAGGCATCAGAGCTTTCAAAAATATTTGCACAAGAATCAACATATAGGAACACGTAAAAAGAAACCATCCAGACACTTATAAGTATGTTGCAATAAAACTGTTGATATTCCCTGAAGATAGAAAGACATGGTTCATGAATAAGTGTTTCTGTACGTGACCTCATGCTGTCACATAGCTGTACATGCCCTTGGGGTGATCTGCTAAGATATATAGGATCAAGAAACTAACTGAATATGCAACTCCATTGAAGCAGATCTTCAGATACAGAACTTGTCCTACTTAGGAACTCCTCAGCGATAGAGATGCCACTGAGTCAACCTCACTTCTGTAAGGAACCCCCCACCCCAATCCAATTCCTCTCTTAGTAAAAGCATTCAGTTTAGTGGTTCTATGAGTTTATTTTAATGGAATACTTTCTTTCGAATCTTTCATGTTCTATCTGGAGTGAAGAGATATTTGTTCATAGATTACCAAGAGTAGAATTCTGCAGAGACTTTATATTAACTTTTAAAATTATTTTTCTTGAAAGAAACTGTACAAGGGTACAGGAGACAATTGGATTAGTAGTTTTCATCATCCTTTAACTTGAGACATGTTGCAATGTTCAAAGAGAGTCTGTGTTGTCCTGTCTTCTCTCTTGAGGAGAGAGAAGGAGGAAATATTCCTTGTATACAATGGGTAGAACCGATGGGAATTATTAAGCAGCTTCCAATGCATATATATCTTCCAGAACAAAGAATAATATATCTCAAATGGGCAATGTTTTGGAGTTTTAGAAATTGGAAAACATTAAAAGTGTAAATTCAGTGGATAAATTTAATCGTATCTCAGGTTAGAAGAAACAGAATTGTGAGTAAAAAGTATTGATGGTTGGTGTTCTGATTTCTACCTTAACCAATAATAAACCATTAGAAAAACAGTTTGAACATGCAATCATTCTCTATCCTTAATATGTTCAGATTATCTTAAGAGAGTTTAATCTGTAGACAAAATTATTGGGTAGGTCAACTTTAAAAGAATGATTTGAAGTTTTTGATGAAAAAATGTCTGATGGAGTTTTATCATCTTAGCAGTTCTAACTTGATATCATATATTAGAGAATATCTCTTCATCTTCTTGTTAGTAATCATCATTGTGATATTTATTGTCCAATTATACAAGAAGCAAAGATGTATACCTTGCTATCCTTGTGACATAAGCGTCCAAAAACATTGACATCATACATGATGATTAAAAATTGTATATTCTTCAAGAGTTTGATAACTGAAGATGAGCTTAAATTACAAAGACAATAAACCATCGAAAAATGCCTTAAAACTAATTTTAATTTCCAGTATTTGTGAAATTCAGAAGCACTTCTTAAACAATACAAAAAAATGTGAAATCACCTGCTCCTCAAATTAATATTCAGAAAAATTCAATTAATTGCCTAAGAGCTTAGAGTGACTTTATATGTCATTTCATATATCCAATATAAAGTCATTCAGTAAAACATTAAAAAACAAACAAACAAACAAACAAACAACAAAACCCCCCAAAATCTAAAAAAACCTTTTTCCAGATACAGCATTCTTGGGCCTAGGAGAACCCAGGTTAATATACCATCTCTAATTGTGTTTTGTTTCTATATAGCTGGGGCACTCCTGGTGCTGGTGGTCTCAAACTTGTTGCTGTGGGAAAAAGTTGCATCAATTCCTGCATGTATGGCAGAAGAGGGTGGCTGCTGGAACCCCCTTGTGGAAACATTTAACAGTGCCATCCAGAGAGCTGAAACTGTCCACAATCTTGCTGACCAATTATACGTAGAACTTGTAAGTACCTCAACCTCTGTACTAATACTTGAACTGCACTAGAAGCTGAGATACTAAATATCATGATTCAAATATCAAAAATTTCACCTTCATGGATAAAGATTCCCCAACTATTGAAACAATTGCAAGGTCAATTGGACAGTGTCTTGAAATTTTATAGAATCTAATGATATTAATATATTTTCTCTACTTTATTAAAAATAAAAATTAACTATGGTAGATACTTTTAAAATATGCTTGGATAAGAACTCTAATTCCTGGATTTGCATTGAGGATCATGAAATTCTGTTGGCCATGTTCATTTAGCACACTTCAGTACACATCGTAAAAGATGTACATTACAGTGAACTTTATATTTGTAACAGAGATAAAGTAAAACATGTGAAGATGCAAGAAAGAAGGAACAGAAGAAAGGAACGAAGAGAGAGAAAGAGAGAGAAACTCAGAGAGAGAGAGAGAGAGAGAGAGAGACAGAGAGACAGAGAGACAGAGAGACAGAGAGACAGAGAGAGACAGAGACAGAGAGAAAATCTAGCCTTTCAAGAAGCCCATAAATACAAGGAATAGGGGTTTAAAGACTTTCAGTGATAGCAATTTGTCCAATATCAGGGCAGTAATAAAAATGTAAAGTAGATTCATTCCCTTTTTAGTGACTGTCATATCTCAATGATAGAAAAAATGAAACTATAGAAACAATATGATGGGCATCAAAAGAATGTGTCTCTGTTTGAAATAAACCATTCATCATAGGTTTTATTGACTAGATGTTATTTTTCTCCCCTCAACATGACTCAGCACTACAACAAATTCTCATCTGGACAATTTGCATCTTTTGTAAGTACCTTTCATTTTTCCAGCTGCTTCCCAATAAGGGCCTCAAGTCAATGATTGCACTTTAGAAGAGAAAGCATTATACAGTATTTGTATTTCCTGTTTTTAATTGACAGTGTATCAACTTCCTAACCTTCATAATTATTCATTAACCTTTCATGAATTAGCTGATTATTTTAAATAAAATATACTCTAAAGTATATAATTATGTTAAATAATTTATTAATCACACAATGTCTAATTCGATAAATGATATTAATTTATAATTTTTATAATTTGTGCACTTTGAGTTTATATAGAATTCATTGTAAAATATTTTATTTTTGTGAGAGAGTTTGATTCTAAAACAATTACAAACATGCCCAGCTATATTCTTACATGTTAAATAAAGAAATTTATAATTCTATTGTCTGGGTAAGGAAATGTCAGTTCCTACTGCAAAAAATAGCAAGATTAATAAATTGCTATGGCTTTATGCTGAAATCCTATACAATGTTGATAACTAAATAACTTAGTTATTCATAGATTTAATTCTTTCAGTTTCTGCCATCCTTAGCTTAACTTTTCAAAGCAAAGAAAACTGAGTAAGGGAGGAAGGAGTTAAATATTCAAAACGTAATGGAAAAAAACAAATTATATTGCGGGTACAATGTATAAACACAAAACTGCATGATGTAGAGTTTCTTAATTCATTAATATGTGTATTTTATGAATTACTTATGTTAAAATTTACAAAGCCACTGAAATGCATTAATATTCTGGTCATGAAGTTATTTATGATTTCTGAATTTAGTTTTATGTTTTATTTGCAGAGTTCACAACTGATTAGGGAGGACGAGACTGTTGTGAGAGCTGGAACTCACTGTCATTCACATAAAACCCCAAATAGGGGAACTGAACACGTAACTATTGAAGTGAGTTTCCTTCTTGGGTTTTCCACAGAACTCTAGAAGCAATATATTACTTTTGTGGTACTGACAGTTATTACAAGCGTTATGAGAGATACAGTAACCAGACATGCAGAAAAATGAAGATAAAGTATAGAAAATAATCATATTATAGTCATGATAAGTTATAAATAAAATCAAATACCCAAAAAAGTGTAGCAAACGGTTAAGTACATCATTTAGAGAATGGCATTTTAGGAATGAGCAACCACTAAAATATTACTTACTATTTTTTTAGGTTCTTTGAGCTAAATTGACTATCCATGGATATATACTCACTTCTCAGTCAGTGATAACAATGTGGCTGTATTTATTATTTGTTGCTATGGGTTCTGCATGATAGCAATCTATGTGACAGAAGACTATCCACTTCTTGATTTTCAAATCTTTTCTGATTCTATTTAATTGTTACCTAACTCTTCATTACTCTATTATTCTCTATGACTTAACTGAAAACCAGATGAACAGAGTTGTTCTATGAAATGATAGATTATGTTCCTTAGGATACAACAATGCCCAAATTCGTGATGAGAATGTTTACGTATCATATTAGTTCTATTAATTGATATGATATACTTCTTCCCCTATACATGCTGTACATGAAGCCCTTATTGAAATACACCTGCCTGTATCTATCATGAGTCAAACCTTAGTGGTCCCTATTGAATACTTGCAAAAATCATTTTACAGCTTGAAGAAATAACCAAATAATAAAGATCTCATTGGAAAGGAAGCTGTTAGAACTTCATAGGGAGAACAAAGTATGATGCCTTAACCTCAGAAAAATATTAATTGACAAGACCCATAATTTGTTTTAATTTTAAGAAAATACACCAGTTGTTTAAATATAATAATTCCAAACTCTGTGGCATCTATATATGTGTCATATACACATAGAAAATACATGTTTCAGTTCAGCTACTTGACATGACCATTACAGGTATCGAACCTGCTACACTGAAACTATTTAATGCAATTGTTCAATTGTGTCTCATAGATAGTACCATTTTTAAAAACTTTGATCAAGTTTGTGGGTTCCTGGATCAGCCCTCTCTACCATCTAGTGCTTGAACTGAGTGCCATGCAAGATGTCCCTGAAACTATACTCTCAAAAGTCAAGGAGATTGAAGAGAACAACAGACAAATCCTGGATGACCTTAGGTGGATTCTAACCAAGGTGAGCACTTCACATTAGTTATTTTCACTCATAAAATAGGTTGGTTGTGAAAATTAACAACAACAATAACAACAACAAAAACATTTTTAAAACACCTCATCTTTCCAGAGTGAAACAGATATCTGATATTGTTCACAATCTTTTCATAAGGCAGTGTTTCTCTACCTGTGGTTCATGACTCCTTTGGGGTTCAAATGATCCTTTCACAGGGGCTCTGGTCCTTCAATCACTGTAATGCTATGGGTCTACATATTAAATCACCATCTGATCCAATCAATTGTGATATTTTTTTATACATAGACTTCATGGAGGTTAGACTTAGTAGAATAGCGGTGCATATCATCTTTCATGAAATACATATGAAAGGACATGTAATAATTTCCTGAATGAGCAACTGAGATGAGCTCTTCCATTGGCCCTGAATCAACCAGAAATATTCTACATTTCCTCTGCTTTGAAATTGGATACTTCCTTTGCTATTAATTACATGATAGAAGAAATGCACATGACTCTTCTCCACAGATTCTAAAAGTCTAACTACGTGAGATTCTCTTGGCTTAGATAAATGAAAACTCATAACTTGATGGAAGCAGCACATTTTTGAATGCATTTCTCTGATTGGGCACAGAAGATATAAGGACAAAGAAACACTAACAATGTAATCAATATGCAATTGATTATTATTTTTATTTTTAGGTGTCTCCTACAGCAGAGATGGAGGAAAATTTTCCTACCTGGGAGTATCTTTCGTTCTTAAAATCAAGTAGCAAAAATAATAAATTTTTGGCAATGTTTAACCTTTCCTACTGCCTACAATATGATACAAAGTACATTCTACTTCAGATTAAAATATTGAAGTGTTTCACAACTGGGAAAGACTGCTAAGTGCACATTTATAATGTCTGCTTTGGAGATGCGCCACAACAGTTCATTGCTAAGCAGTTGCTTTTAATTATATACATTTCAAATGCATGCGTGTGTATAATGATTCTCTAAAAATAAATAAAATCACTCTCTTTAGAA